TCTTTATCCAATCATCTTATCAATGGACAGTTAGGTTGTTTCCATATCTTGGCTATTGTATATGAAATATCCTCCTTTGCCTCTTTTATAGCCTTTGTTTTAAAGTCTATTTTGGCCCTGGCCAGTTTGGCTCAGCGGTTGGAGCGTCGGCCTGCGGTACAGAGAGACCCAGGTTCGGTTCCCGCTAAGGGCACGTACCTCGGTTGCAGTTTGTCCCCGGCCCTGGTTGGTCGTGCGGGTGGCAGCCACTCAGTGTGTCCCTTCACATCGATGTTTCTCTCTCTCTCTCTTCCTCTCTCTCCCTCCCGCTCTATCTGAACAAAAAATGTCCTCGGGTGAGGATAAAAAAATAATAATAATAAAGTCTATTTTGTCTGATATAAGTATTGCTATTCCAGATTTTTTCATTTACATTTGCATGAAATATCTTTTTCCATCCCTTTAGTTTCAGTCTGTGTGGGTCTTTTGTAGGGAGCATATATATGAGTTTTGTTTCCTTCTCCATTCATCCCATGTTTTTTGATTGGAGCATTTAACTCATTTACATTTAAAGTAATTGTTGATAGGTATTTAGTTACTGCCATTTTATTATTCATATTTTTATCTTTTTGAATTCTTCTCTTTTTTTTTCTTACTGCTCACCCAAGAATATTTTTCCCATTGATTTTTTTAGAGAGAGTGGGAGGGAGGGAGAGAGAGGGAAACATTGATGTGAGAGAGACACATCAATCAGTTGCCTCCTGTATGACCCTGTCCAGGGCCAGGGATTGAACCTGAAACACAGGTACGTGTCATTGATCATGAATTGAACCTGGGACCCTTTGGTGTGCAGGTTGATGCTCTAACCACTGAATCACACTGGCCAGGGTTAAATTCTTCTTAAAGAAGTCCCCCCCCCCTTTTTTTTAAAGGAGTCCCTTTAACAGTTCTTATAATAATGGTTTGGTGGTGAAGAATCCCTTTAGGTTTTCTTGTCTAGAAACTGTTTATTCTCCTTATAGTCTAAATGATAGCCCTGCTGGGTAGATTAATCTTGGTTGTAGATCCAGTTTTTCATTACTTTGACTATTATGTGGAAATCCCTCCTGGCCTGCAAAGTTTCTGTTGAGAAGTCAGCTGACAGTTTTATGGGAGCTCCCTTATAGGTAACTAATTGCTTTTCTCTTGCTGCTTTTAATTTTCTCTATGTCTTTAACTTTTGGCATTTTAAATTTCATGAATCTCTTTGGGGTTCATCTTGTTGGGTACTCTGTACTTCCTGGACTTGTATATTTATTTCAAATAGGTTTTCAATCCCTTGCTCATTCTCTCTGTCTTCTCCTTGTGGTACCCCTATGATGTGAATGTTTTTGTGCTTGAAGTTGTCCCAGAGGTCCCTTAAACTGTCCTCATTTTTTTAAAATTCTTTTTTTCTTTTTACTGTTCTGATTGGGTGATTTTTGTTGTTGTTTTTGTTTTAATCCTCACCCGAGGATATGTTTTATAGATTTTAGAGGCAGAGGAGGGAGAGAGAGAGAAAGAGAGAGAAACATCGATTGATTGCCTCCTGTACATGCCCTGACTCAGAATTGAACCCACAAACATTTGATGTATAGGAGGATGCTCCAAACAACTGAGCCACCTGACCGGGGCTGATTGGGTGTTTTTCATACCTAGTCTTCCAAATTGCTGATTTTATTCTCTTCTTCATCTAATCTGCTGTTGATTTATTCTGATATAGTCTTCATTTCAGTTATTGTAGTCATTTCTGACTGAATGGTGTCTGTCTCTTTGTGCAAGTCCTCATTGAGTTCATCAATTCTTCTCCCAAGTTCATTGAGCATCCTTATAATCAGTTTTTGGAATTCTGTATCCAGTAGATTGCTTGTCTCCATTTTTAGTTTTTTTTCTGGAGTTTTGTCCAATTCTTTCATTTGGGACATGCTTCTTTGTCTTCTCCTTTTGGCTGCCTAGTACAATCACCAGTACAGGGAATTTATTTCTATGTATTAGGTAGATCTATGTTTCCCAGTGTTGGCAGAGTGGCCTTATCTAGTAGGTATCCTGTGGGGCCTAGTGGTACAGACTTTCTGCTCACCTGAGCTGGGTGCTCAAGGGGTGTCCCTGGTGTCAGTTTTGTGTGCTCGACTGTTGTAGTTGAGTTTTGATTGCCATTGGCATGTCATTGGGTGGGATTGACCCTTAGTCTGACTGGCTGTGAGGACTGGCTGTGACTATAGTGGATGAGCTAAAGTGTGGGGGTTGAACCCATGGAGTGTTATTCACTGTACTGGGGCTCTGGTGCCTGCCAAGGCTACAGTTTGGGTGTGTCATTTAAGAAGCTAATTGGGTGGTACTCTGTTCTGATCTGAAGCCAGCCACCAGGTGTGTTGTTAGTTCTGGGGCCTTTTGGGAGGGGCTCCAGTGCAGGACCAGGTCAGCCACTACCTGTGCCTGGTCTGGGGACAAGTGGTGGGAGCTACAGTGTCATCTGCATTTAATAGTTGTCTATGCTAGATTGGAGGCACCTAGAAGAGACTATGGTGTAAACCAAGGCCTACTGTCACTAGTCCTGCAACCATTTAACAAGAGATAGAGGGCATACTGAGGCCAGGTGCTGCTTGTTTGGGGTGTGTGGCCCTTTTAGAGAGTTTAGGAAAGTCTGCAGCATGGGCCAAGACTGGTGGCTTTTGAGGAACAGCCACTGAAAGAAATTTGGGTTGGTGTGTGAGTTGAGTAGGGTGGATTTCAGGGAATCACCAGTATGGGGTGAGTTTGATGGAGACTCAGATCTGGTACCAGCCTGCATCTGCTGGCTGTGTGGGGTAGGGCTCAACAAAGGAGCAGTGGTGCTTGCCAGCAGTTTAGTCCTGGAGAGAGCTGCTCCTCCAGCTCTTGTCCTGAAGCTAGACAATTCAGTTTCATCCTCTCTCCCCCTGGTGCTTTTTTGAGCTGCTGCTCCTGAGTGAGTGAGTAAATCAGTGAGTAAGTTCGTGCACAGGCCCTTGAAGAGAAACACCTGGGACAACAGCAGCTCTCCATGTCACCCAGACAAAGTCTCCATTGATTTTCACAGCCAGACATTTTGGAGAATCCTTTTCCTGGCACTGGTGGTATGGGCTGGGGAGCCTGGTTGGTGTAGGGCTGGGACCCCTGGCTCCTCAGGGAGGACCTCCACAGCAGAGATATCCCTCTCAATTTTTAACCACCACAAGTGGGTGTGGGACCAATCTGTTTTACATCTTTGCCCCTCCTACCAATCTTGGTGCAACTTCTTATTTATATCCTCAGTTGTAGAAATTCCATTCAGCTAGTCTTCAGATGGTTCTCAAGGATTGTTCTATAATTTAGTTGTAATTTTTATATGGTCGTGGAAGAAGGCAAGCACAGCATTTACCTACTCCACTAATCTTGACTGGAAGTACTATATATTTTAAAAGGGTGGATTTTTTGGTATGTGAATTATAGCACAATAAAAAGAACAATAGACAGGGAAAATTTCATCTTACAGTTATAGATGTTTAGTATTTGAAATATTTATGAAGAACATACTACAAATATAAAAGTTCAGTATTGCCCTGGCCAGTTTGGCTCCGTGGTTGGAGCATCGACCTGCAGACCAGAGAGTCCCGGGTTCAGTTCCCGCTAGGGGCACGTATCCCCGCCCCCCCCCCCCAAAAAAGTTCAGTATCTAGAGTCTATAAGAAAATAGTCTATGGAGCTGTACCATTTCTACAGAAGGAAGAAAAAAGTAGAAATACACTTGGAAAAATTGACCGCCTTAGTAAATAATAAAGATATAAAGCAAGGTAAAACCTCATTACATCCCTATTAAATTAGCAAAAAAAAAAAAATTAACGTCAAACATTGCTTTGGGCTGGAAACATTTTTAATCTTTCTGGAGGATTGTATGGCCACTGTAGCAAGTGTTATCAAATAGTTCATGTACTAGAACCATTTTAGGAATAACAGGAGAAAAAAATAAGTGTATGGGGATGTCATAAAAATATATATATGAAGCTGGTTGTGAAAAGGCTATAGTAAGGGATGACTGGGAGGAACAAATGACCAACCATAGGGAACAGCTAATCAAATAAGGCACATGAACTATGTCAGGATGTGGATTATTCACATAAAACAAAGCTCCATGAAGACAGCAAAGCATGTGTTTCGTGCTCCGGTCATAACCATGGAGAACTAGAGTCCAATTTAGGCTCTAGTGTGAAGATGTGCAAAGAGGAGTTGAGGTGGGAAGAGTTTGGAGTTTAATTTTCATTTGATTCTTTTTTTCCCTTACATTTCTTCTCTTTACATGTCTTTAAATGGTGGTGACAAAGGGGACATCTGTGAATTAGAGCACCTAATATTCCACAGGTTTACAGATTATACATATCAGGACAGAATAATTTGACACTTGGAATATATGTCAAATGTTTTTTCCACCACAATAGCTCCATCTCTTTCGTGGTGTTTAGTAGGGAAATGGTATCACACAGAGATCAATCGAGTAACAACAAATGAAATTATGATCACATTTTCTAATAAATTTATTTATCAGGCCTAGCCTATACTCTTAAGAACCATAGTTCATTAATCCAGGTACAAAAACATTTTATAGCAAGCCACTCTGCTTATTTAGCTAGTTTGTTTGTTTTCTAGAATTCCCAAGTCCTCAAGACAGAGGAGAATAAAATGAGGGGACACATAGGTACTGAGGGAAAATGAGGGTGGATCTCTGTCTCAGGAACATCTTAGGGTGCTAATCTATACCAGGGCTTATTGAGCAATAGTCGTGTACTTCCCACTCTGAAGAAAAAAAAAAAACAAACAAACACATGGCATGTCACCAGTGTTCTCTTCACCCTTGGTTTACCATTATTTGAGTACCTAGCTTACTTCTACTATTCCATAAGCTCCCGGGGCACAAGGACTATTATTTATTATAAATAAAAAGCACACAGAACCCAGTATATGTTCAATAATAACTTTCAAATATATGAATTCATGATACAAGGCTGGGAGTTGGAAGAAAGATGCAAAGTGTAGGGCTTTCAGTGAGGCCCCTGGTCACCCACTGGGCAGATGGTGAGTGGATCCATGTTCTTCCCTCCATCATGTGTCCCAGGACTGAAGATTGGTTGAAGGAGCCCAGAGAAAGAGAAGCTGGTGAATGTGTAGATGTGTGATTTGGCTGTCACATTGTAAAAGGAAATGGCTCCAGCCTTGTAGTCCAGGAAGATGCCCACACGCCTGGGGGGCTCCCTCATCCGCAGGCGGGTTGGGGGAAAGGTGGATGCCTGGTACTCATTTCGCTTCATCATCATCACCACCCAGTAGCCATTCTCCGGCGACAGAGTCAAGCTCCCCTTTCTGCTTGTGGATGCCTTGCAGATGCCCAGGACCCACCCTGTCTTGTCTCCCACCTCCACTTCCCAGTAGTGGTGGCCAGAGAGGAAGCTTGGAGAGCCCAGGGTGAAGAGGCAGCTATCAAATCTTTCCGGACTGTCAGGCATACGGTTCAACTTGTTTCCAAGTCTAGCACTCTTCAGGTCATCAGAGACAATGAGGTTGGGGTGGGCAGTTTCTGCATCCAGAGTCACATTAACTGCAGAGAGAATTAGAATGCCTCACTGGAAGTCAATGGGCAACATCCCCACAGGCTCTCCCCACCACCAGGAAACATGGACAGAGCCATTCTTCTGGAACACGGGACAGCACAGAGATCCATCAGGCCAAGGCCACTCGCCTTGATCTGGGCACTTACCAGCATGTGCCTGAGCGTGAATCAGTTCTGGAACTACAAAGAAAAGGAGATGAGGGGGGAAAATCCTGAGCATTTCCACTCAGACGGCTAAATCTACCTTGATCCCCACAACCAGGAAAGACAAGAACCCCTGTGCTCAGGACCTTGATTCCTCTGCTTGGATATAACCCAATTCCTCCCAGGCACCTGAGCCTCTCTCTGGACTGATGAGTTGACCCAGCTAAAGGAGTCTTTCACAGAACTTGTGAGGACCTTTCTCTTGCCTTTGTTACAGGTGTTTTTCTCTCTTCTAAATAATGCCCAGAAGTCAACAGTACAAGGGAATATCACAATAATTCCTGCTCAGCACATATTACCACCACCATACTTACCATTGAAGGTTTCCATTTCTGAACGCAGGGTTTCTAAGGAGAAAGAGAGCTAGAGTTAAGTTCTCTAGTTAGGAACAGATCGGGGGGAGGCTGAAGGCAGAGTCAGAAGACCATGAGAGATGGAAAAGGGATGCCTGGGGACTCTGGGCTACATGGATCTCAGGGAAAAAGTGAGCAGGTACCCCCTGTCTTCCTCCAAGCCCACCTACCTACCTGAGAAATGCTTCATGCTCTTCTCCACAAACTCTGATTTCTGGTGGAGCAGGTGGATCTTTTCTTTCACTTCTAGAGGGGTGGCCCATGGCTCAGGCACAGTCACCGTCCTGGCTCTAGAAACAAAAGACTGTTGTCCAGAGAGAGCTGGAGCATGGAGTGACCCATGCTCCCATAAAATGGAAGGAAGGTACAGCCTCCACAGGGCACACCCACCCCAGCCTGGGCTTTGCAAAGAAAGTCCTCCCTGGACTTCAGGTTCTAAACACTGGTCCTCCACTTTGCCTATGGATTTGTATCACCTGGGAAATTTTTTAAAGTACTGATGTTAAAACCAAAAGTTTTAATAATGGCCTTAAAATGCTCTGATGTTGAAATGCTCAGCCCCGAATTATCTACAGTCTTCCCTCATTTATCGCGGTTAATCCGTTCCACACTCTAGTGGTTGCACCTGGCGTTGAAAGATTCCTGGGGTGCTCGAATACATAGGCCTACAATTCGTACGTACAGTAATTTTAATTTTAATTGTAATACAGGGGTGTATAATTGACTCAGACAACCGAGCATGCGCTATATCATTTTCACTGTCTCGATCAACTTTTTAATGACTCTTTGAAAAAACCAAGTAGAGTGAAGCCGCGAAAGTCGAAGCGCAAAGTGGCGAGGGATGACTGTATGTTGTTAATTACACTTCCTTAGTCATTATTTTTCTATTGAAATAAAATGATAATAGATGAAGGGAAGAAAACACAATGCTACTTTACACCCATTAGGATGGCTGCTATTAAGAAAAAAGTAGCCTGCCCTGGCCAGTTTGGCTCAGCGGTTAGAGCATCGACCTGCGGACCAGAGAGTCCCGCATTCGGTTCCTGCTAAGGGCACATACCTTGGTTGCAGTTTGTCCCCGACCCCGATTGGGGTTGTGTGGGTGGCAACCACTCGATGTGTCTCTCTCACATAGATGTTTCTCTCTCTCTCTTCCCCTCTCTCTCCCTCCCACTCTATCTGAAGATAAATGCAAAAATGTCCTTGGTTGAGGATAAAAAAAAGAAGAAGAAAAAAGTAGCCTGGCCAGGTAGCTCAGTTTGTTAGATCATTGTCTCAATATGCCAAGGTTGTAAGTTTGATTGCTGGTCAGGGCACATACAAGAATCAACCAATGAATACATAAATAAGTGGAACAACAAATCAGTGTTTCTCTCTCTCTCTTTTTCCCCTTCTCCAAAATCAATAACTAATTAAAAACAAAAATGACAAATGTTAGTAAGGATGTTGAGAGGTTTGAACCCTTGTGCATTGCTGGTGGGAATGTAAAATGGAGCAGACACTCTAGGAAATATGGTGGTTCCTCAAAAAAACTAAATATAGAATTACCACATAATAGAGAAATTCCACTTCTGGGTATATACCCAAAAGAATTGAGAGCAGAGACTCAAACAATATTCATAGCAGCATTATTCACAATAGCCAAAAGGTGGAAGCAATCTAAGTGCCCAATGATGTAAGAATGGATGAACAAAATTTGGTATATACATACAGTGAAATATTATTCAGCCTTAAAAAAGGAATGTAATTCTAACGTGCTACAGCATGTAGACATTATGCTAAATGAAATAAGCTAAACATAAAAGTACAAATATTTTATGATTCCACTTAGATGAGGAAGTTTGAGTAGTCAAATTCACAAACACAAAGTAGAGTGGTGGTTGCCAGGGACTGGGGATGGGGGGCATGAGAGTTGTTCAGTGGTATGGAATTTCCATTTGGGAAGATGAAAAAGTTCTGGAGATGGTTTGTAGTGATGGTTGCATAATAATGTAAATGTATTTAATGCCAATGAACATACATTTAAAAATGATAAATTTTATGTTATGTATATTTTACCACACATACACACACAAAAAAAGACTTAAAAAATTGATTCCTGAGTTGCACTACTGAAGATTCAGCTTTAATTCATCTGCCAGGGCCTGGATGTCAGGATTTTGTAAAGCTCCAGAGGTGACTGCAACATCCAGCCTCCTCCCTCCGATCCCCTCCCCTGCCTGCTGGGCTTAGCAGCTCCATTCCTCAAAGTGCTTCCCTTCCTGAGGCCACAGGCACTGCAAGAACAGTTTTCGTGAGGTGAATTATATAGGACATAATCTATTAGGGAGGTTTCTTAGGAAGCCACAATCAGCACAGCAGGCTGTGTTCATTCTTTCCAGTCTTCAACCCCATGTTCTCCTGATCATACCTGTTTTCCCTACACAGATACAGAAAAGCCTTAAGTAGCTGCAGGAAATGGGAGGAGCCTGGGGAGGAATCCCAGACCCAGGGTGGGAATGTCTCCCTTCTAGCACTGCCTCCCCAAATGCTTCCTGCAGGACACCCAAGGGATCATCAGGGGACCTCTCAGTACCTGTGCAGGGTGACTCCGATGTCCTAGGAGAGAAAAGAGAAAAGCTCTTTATTACTAGTTTCCCAGGGGCTGCACTACTGGCCTCTCATCCTGGGTCCCAGGGCATCAGCAAAACTGGGGCACTTCTCCCAATTCTTTTTTTTTTTGGTACGTGCCCCTAGCGGGAACCGAACCCGGGACCCTCTGGTCCGCAGGCCGACGCTCCAACCATCCAACCGCTGAGCCAAACCGGCCAGGGCACTTCTCCCAATTCTAATTCTAATTCCCTGAAGTGGCTGTGGCCTGCAACAGACCTGCACCCAAGCCCTGGTCTGTTCTGGGAGATGCCAAGAGGTTCCCTGGATTCTGGGCCACTCTGGGCTCCTAAGAGCTCACCAAATGGATCTGGGTACAAGAGGCATTGTTGGTCACCAAGACCAAGTCCCACCCTTAGCCCCAAGGAATTCAGCCACTCACTGGCTTGGGCAGAGCTGATGGTGCTAGGAGCCCATGTCATCCTAATGGGCACAGTGGACAGGGCAAGGCCAGGTCCAGCCACACTCACCTGCATAAGCTCCCATTCCGGCAGGCACTGCTTGGCCTCTAGCTCCTCAATCAGCTTGTTGAGAAGGGCAATGTCCCTTGACACTTGGGTGTCATATGTCTCCCTGACTTGGCCAATGGTCTGGCCCAGCTCCTCCAGCCAGGCCACAAAGAGCCGCTCTTGCTGCTCCAGAAACTGGCACAACTGCTCCAACTGGTACCTGACTCTCTGCTTCTGGATTTCAGTTTGTTTCTGGGAAAGGGGACAGAGAGGTATAGGGGTCTGTGCAATAAGGTGGATGTGTTTGCCCAGGAACTCCCCAGCAAAGGCTGGACCCTCTTGTCTTCCTGGTTTCCCTGAGCAGCCCAGTTTCATGGCTCACCCTTCTCAGGGGGCATCCCTGACCCCTATTCTATCCACAAGTTCTAAACCCCCTGGGGTTACAGGAAGGGGTTTTTATTTTACTACAATTTAGGAGTTTCCCAAAAGTCAGGCACCTGGGCCAAAGTCATTCTCGTCCCATTCTTTTTATCTTTGTCTGTTTCCCATTGCGATGTGAGGGTCCCAACAGAAGTTTGGCACCCAGAGAGGGAGACAGGATCCAGTCAACAGAACAAATGCATCAGATAAATAGAGGCTCTGTGGGGTAGGTGCCTTGACTTGAAGGTAAAATGGAAGCAGTTTACGCATCCAAGAGGCTGGACACCAGCTCCACAGAGGAAGGCAAATAATTTGTGACATTGCAAAACCACTGTTTTAAAGAAAATGTACATTGAACAATCTGAATTTTAAAAATCAGTATGTTTTTGTAAAAAAAAAATAAAATAAAATGGGCAACAATGATAAAAGCAGTAAAGAGTATTCAAAATTGAAAAGTCCCTCCTCCCATTTCCTCAATCCCATCCCTCAGCCACAGCCACTGGCAGTAGTTTCTCTAAATCACTTTGTGGTGAGTAAGAGAAAGTGCAACAAGGTCCTTGGGGATGACCCTCCCTGTGGTGGGTGGTCCCCTTCTGCAGTTGTCCCCTTGGACACCTATTACCTCTCCCCTCCCCTTGCACCCTGCACCTCCTCCCACCAAAAGCAGGTAATTCTAAATATATGATCAGCTCTGCTTCCCTATAAACCAGAACCTCGGGAACCCCAGTTTACTCTTCATCCCTCCCTCCTGCAGGGGTGACCCTGGGTAAGGACTGGCTATAGAACACCCTTGGCCTTACCAGGTAGTTTGAAGTGTTCTTATTCCCCTGAGATCTCTGCTCCTCTCCGGATTTTTTCAACTCCTTCAGATGCTCCAGCTGCTTCTGAATTTGCTTCTGAACAAAGAGCACTTGTTGAAGCTTAAACTTGGCTCCTACTATTTTTAGTTGGTGCCAACTCTAGAAGGGGAAATCTGCTTAGAGAATAAGGCTGAGGGGACTGCAGCCAAGAGCAAAGGGAGGGGTTCCCATCACACCAAGGGAAGCAGGCGCAAGAGAAAGAGAAATTCCTGATAACCTCCTGTGAGCACCTGAAGTGAGGCCCTTGGACCTCTAAGCTACATGAACTGGTAAATTCTCTCTTTGCCGTCCTGGTTTGTATTGTGTTTTTGCCATTTACAGCTCAAAAGTGGTGGCTATTGCACCAACCTCCTAGTGTCATTGGGAAAGTGAAGCAAACCCCCAAATATCCAAGTGCTCATCAGAGCAGAGCCCCCAGACAGGAAGTCCTACCTTGTATTCCAGGGCAGCTTCCTCGATGGGGCGCACCTGGTGGCCTCTGTGTTCCTGACTCAGGCTGCAGATGAGGCAGATAGGCTCCCCGTGGTCCTCACAGAAGAGCAGCTGGACCTGCTTCATGTGACGCTTACATTGTGGCAGGGCCTGGGGGCTCAGGCTGGCCATCTGTAGGCCCTCCCGCTGCTCGAGGCTTCCAGAGCTCTTCCTTGAGAGCGAGACCTGGCACCTGAGGCATTTGGGCAAGCAACCACCTGAGGCCTTGGGATCCCTAGAAGCAACGGAGCAGCTGCAGGAATCGTGCACACAAGTGCCACCAACTGGATCTCCTTCCTGGGCATGGCAAAGGGGACACACAGCCTCATCCTGGGGCCTCCCTGGGGACATAGCAGTGGAAAAATCTCCTGAGTGACAAACTCAAGATGTTACAAAGGGGTGTTGCAAAAACACAGCAGAGAAAGAGCCCACACCTGAGACCTGTAAGGTCTCTATTAGACTGTGGCCACATCCTAGCTTGTCCCTCTCCTATTACTCTCCAGCAAAGAAACAGGCAAGTCTCCGGGACTGAGAGCTAAGGGCTAGATATCATGACAGTCCTGAGACCTGGAATTCTTGGGCACTTATTCTAAAGAAAGGGCTTTTGCTGTAAATTCTGTGCCTTCCTCCCGCACACACACTGAGCTAGCAGTTGATATAGAGACAGCAAGAAGTTTTGACTAGTGTTTGCTTTACCACTTAAACCACCCAGTCTGCTAATGAATTGAGTAGGAACTCCCGGGAGATATTGACTGGCTCATAGCCAGACACTCAGCCCCTAGCAGACTCCCTGGCACATGGTGGGCCTTGGGGAAGTGTATGTTGAATAAAGGAACAAATGGACCACCTTTCACACCATGTTCATACCACATTCAGGAAGCATTAAATAAAAGTAAAGAAGGGGACTTTATAAGGCTAAAGGGTATAATCTGCCATGATAACATACAGCTATGACTAACTCTGCCCCAATACCATAGCACAACTTCACAAAGCGGATATGACAGGCCCTGGCCGGGTAGCTCAGTTGGTTAGAGCATCATCTGGATAGGCCAAGGTTGTGGGTTTGATCCCTGGTCAGGGCACATACAAGAATACAAGAATTAACCAATGAATGCAAAAATAAGTGGAACAACCAATCTCTCTCTCTCTCTCTCTCTCTCTCTCTCTCTCTCTCTCTCTCTCTCTCTCCTCTTCCTCCCTCTTTTTATCCCTCCCTCCCGTCCACTCTCTAAACAACTCAATGGAAAAAATATCTTCAGGTGAGAATTAACCAGAAAAAACACCCTACATTTTTCAGCCTCCTTTGCACTTGGTTGTGGCTATTTGACTACATTCTGGCTAAAGGAATGTAAATGGAGGTGTTGTGACTAGCTTCTAGAAACTTCTGGAAACCTTCCCTAAGTGATACTATTCTCCTTTGTCTCTCTGTCCTGCTTCCTGGAATGAGGATGCCACTATCTGAGACCATGAGCTTGAAAGCAAACTCGATGAGCAGAAAAACAGCAGGGACCTGGGTTCCTGGCCTTATGGAGTACCACATCTGCCCTGGACCACCTGTGTATCAATTATGTGAAAGAGGAACAAACTTCTGCCTTGTTTCAGTCACTGTTATTGTGTTCCTGTCATTCAAAACCCAAATAATCCTAATTTCTACCTCCTTAGTAAAAGAGACCTAGGGTTTTAGCCAACAACTCTCCTCCCCGCCCAGAGAGAGGCAAATGGCAGCTCCTCAGCTCCATGACACACTGCCATGGGGTTACTGAGAGAAGGGCATATTTTTACCCATTCTTTCCCAGATGCTCAACCTGGGGTCCATGAAGCCCCTGGAATTCTAAAGCAGGACTCCAGAGTGTGTAAGAACTAACTGAAATTTGATGCAGCGTTTTGTGAAGATGTGCATATACCTCTTTTCTTCAGGATTCACAGCCTCCAACAGATTCTCAAAGGGTTGGGGACCTCAGGGGGCACGCAGGGATCCAGTAACAGAAATACAGTGGGGGATAAAAGGAGGGTTGTGGAAGAACACCTGCACAGGTCACCATTCCTAAGGACACCAGGTCTTCTGGATTCTGGGGTCCTTCCTTACCTGAAGGTGGAAGGACTTCTGGATTTGAAAGCTCACCACCTACCACCTCCCCCAACGTCTCAGGTGTCTCTGGACCCTCAATTCCACTTTTCTCCAAAGGTGCTGTGGATTCTGGATGCTCCCAGGTCTTCTCCTCTCCAGCCAACAATACTTTGGAAAGCATATTCCTGAATGCTCCTCCATCCAGGATCACAGAATGTTCTGGATTTCTGGAGCCTTTCTCTGGAGCCACAGTAGCCCCTACATCCAGAGTGGCCACTTTGCTGAGGGTAGCTGCTGAGTCCAGATTCTCACTTCTCATTTTCTCTTGAGGCAGAAGAGTTTCTGAATTGGGAGGCGTTCTCTCTCCTGAAGAAATGGTAAATTCAAGACTTTTGGGTCGATTCTTTTTTGAAGGTACATATGCTTCAGATATCTTGCATTCTTTCCTTCCTGGGGACCCAGCACATGACCCACTGGAGAGTCCTTGGAGCCTTCCTGCAGAGCTGGCATTCCTGCGTAGCCTGACACTTGACTCAGCCCCCTTCTCCCCTTGTAGCCTTCTGGGGAGCGGACTTTTCCTAGAAGACAGAGTCATGCCCCTGGGCCCTGGCTTGGCCTGTACATCCAGGCCCTCTGAGCCCTTCTGGTCTCTCCGTTTGCCCTGAGGCTTCTTCTGGGGCCCCTTCCCAGCCTCGGGCTGGCTGGCTGCCCCATCACCACTTTGCTGCTGCCTGTCACCTTCCAGGCCATCTGGTATCTTCAGGCTCTTGGGCTTATTCTCCCCAGAGGAACACGACACTGCTGAACACTCATTGCCACTTTCTTGTATGGGACATTCTGAAAAGACAAGGAAATGCAAAGGCATGAAAATGTCTGGTGCTTAGGGCCAACGGCTGAGGGAAGAAAGAGAAGAGAGAATCCCCTCAGAAATTAGAGAAGTTCAGAAATTCTAGACAATAGCAGTCAATTGCCATTAAATAAGAACATACTATTTGCTATATATTTTTCTTTTTTTTAATTTTTTTTTCCCTCACCTGAGGACATTTTTCCATTTTTTGTTCAGATATAGAGTGGGAGGAAGAGAGAGGAAGAGAGAGAGAGAGAGAAACATCGATGTGAAAGGGACACATCGAGTGGCTGCCACCCGCACAACCCAACCAGGGCTAGGGACAAACTGCAACCGAGGCATGTGCCCTTAGCGGGAACCGAACCCGGGTCTCTCTGGACTGCAGGCCGACGCTCCAACCGCTGAACCAAACTGGCAGGGCAACTATATATTTTTCAAATAGTGCTTTCAAACTTTTTAGACAGGACAATTTGCTTCCAATATAAGAATTTGAAAAATAGAATTCTTCATACATAAAATAAATAAAACCCAAGTTTATTGGTATAAATTTGTGTGTGATTATAAAATCAATCAGTAAATAATTCACTTATAAAATCAATAAAGAAGTAATATGTGGAAACTAGACTTTTGATGTTGACCATGCTATAGTGTATACTGATATCGAATTATAGTGTGCACCAGAAATTTATATAATATTATCAACCAATGTTACTTCAATAAAAACAAATAAATAGACCTGGCTGGTTTGGCTCAGTGGTCAGAGCATCGGCCCGCAGACTAAAGAGTCCCGGGTTCTATTCTGGCCAAGGGCATGTACCTCAGTTGCAGTTCATCCCCATCACCCGTTGGGGTCGTGCGGGTGGCAACCAATCGATGTCTCTCTCCCATCGATGTTTCTCTCTCTCTCCCTCTTCCTCCCTCCTGCTCTATCTGAAGATAAATGGAAAAATACCCTCGGGTGAGGATTAAAAACAAAACAAAAAACAAATAAATACAATTCTCCAGAAAAACAAAACTCAATTACGGTAGTAAGCAAGAGGAAAAATAGATGTATTCAGAATGAATACATTGAAGTGGTAATCATTGAAGTGGGTGATGGGTACAAGGAAGCTTCACCATAGTACTCTCTATCCTGAGTATTTTTGAAAATTCATAGTTAATGGTTTTAAAGAAAATCCTCCATACAGAAGGAGACAGCAAGGATGTGTATTTGTAGATCTTGACATTAGAGAAAGAAAATCTCTCCTGAAGATTTGTAAACACAGTGTTCTCTTTTATGCTTCAGCCCAAATTCACATTATTCATGTAGTCTGAAAAACCTCAAGAGTAATTTCATTTGAAGAGGGTCTTAGGCGGCATTGCCCCCACACAATTGGGGTGAACAGAATTTCCACATTGTTGTATGCTATACCGGAAAGTTGTTAAAAGAGTAAATCCTAAGAGTTCCCATTTTACTGTATGAGAAGATGGGTGTTAGCTGAACCTATGTGGTAATCATTTCACAATATATGTAAATCAAACCATCATGCTGTATGCCTTAAACTTATACAGTAATGTGTGTCAATTATTTCTCAATAAAACTGGAAAAAAATAATTAAGGTGTTTTATTGGCATAAAAATTTGAAATCAGGCTATGAAAGACAGTTAAAACTTCAGAAAGTAATTTATTCCTGTTTTTCCTTTGGTTTTGTCAGGTGAAGAAAATCCTAACTCACACAGATAAGTAAGTGTAAATGATATATTTTTTTAGAAAAACAGCTTGCCTGAAAATTTCAAGATACTGTTTAATAAAACAAAAATGACAGGAAAGGCTTAATTCCAAGATTTACATTTAAAAAAAAAGGTCAAGTACAGCATGAACTATCACACTGGTGGCCTTCAGTATTTTTTAATTTGGCAAACCTGAGCCTGGCCAGTTTGGTTCAGCAGTTAGAGCGTCGGCCCGTGGACCAGAGAGTCCCGGATTTGGTTCCTGCTAAGGGCACGTGCCTTGGTTGCGGTTTGTCCCTGGCCCCGTTGGCAAACCTACAACCCAGTTACATGCCCTTGACCGGGAATCAAACCCGCCACTCTTCAGTTCACAGGCTGACGCACTAACCACTGAACCACACTGGCTACAACAGTTACTGATACATTTTAATATGAATTTGTTTCGTTTTTTAAAGTTAATAAGCCCTGGCCAGTTTGGCTCAGCGGTTAGAGCGTCACCCCGTGTACTGAAGGGTTGCAGATTTAATCCTCAGCATCCAATCGATGTGTCTCTCTCACATCCATGTTTCTCTCTCACACACCTTCCCTCCCTTCCTCTCTATCTAAAAACAAATGGAAGAATATCCTCTGGTGAGAATTAACAAAAATTTTTTATTAAAAAATAAAATTTGAATCAAGTATTTGCTAATATTCTAAGGAATCCCTGAAATATCATCCTAGGATATAATTTGAAAACTACTACTTTAATAAAGAAATGAAGATAACCTGTAATTAGCACCGTAATATATGACTTGAGGAAGCTCTTTTTAAAATTACTTTAAGGTGCCCTGGCCATTTTTGCTCAGTGGTTAGAGCATCGGCCTGCGGGCCAATGAGTTGCGGGTTCAATTCCGGTCAAGGGCACGTACCTCAGTTGCGTTGGTCCCCGGCCCTGGTCGGGTCATGTGGGAGGCAACCAGTCTATGTGGCTCTATCATATTGATGTTTCTCTCTGTCTCTCTCCCTCCCTCCCTCCCACTCTATCTGATTAAAAAAAAACTACTTTAAGGTTGTTTAAAACACTTTGCTGTGGGCTTCATAGGAAAAAGTAAATTACCAAAACTGGCTTAAGAACTCTTGAGAAACCCTGAAGGTGCTAATAACCAGATTTTAAAACATAAAAAAGTAATTTAAAAATCTATTCATCAAATTATTCTGGACTCAGATTATAATTGGTTTAGTTCTCTCACTCTTTCAAAGAGCAGATAATTTTTATGTTATTTCAACCATTCTTCTTCCACACAGAAATACATGAAGAGCATTTCTAATGTACTCTTTTTTTTTTAAACCCTCGCCCGAGGATATTTTTCTATTGGTTTTTTGATAGAGTGGAAGGAAGGGAGGTAGAATAAGAGAGAGAAACATCCATGTGAGAGAGACACACCAATTGGTTGCCTATTGCATGACCAGGGCTAGGGATCGAGCCACAACCGAGGTACATGCCCTTGACCAAAATCAAACTCAAGACTCTTTGGTCCACAGGCCAACGCTCTAACCACTGAGCCAACCCAGCCAGGGCTCTAATGTACTCTTAAAGTGTAAAAATGGAAGAAAAATTCAAACACCAAAGAATATTTAGAAACTGATCCTGTTAGCTCCAAAATCTTTAAAAATGTCTTTAAAAGCAAGAATCAAATAGTCCACATTATTTGATCACAATACAACAAAATCAGAAAGTACAGCAAAAGAAGGAGAAGGAAGGAAAAGAGGAAAGGAAGGAAGAGGAGAGAGAGGAGAGAACGAAGAAAAAGGAAGGGAGAAAGGGAAGGAAGAGAGGAAGGAAAATGAAAGAAAAAGGAGAAAGTCCTCTTGACAATTTTAAAATGCCTTTGTAAAATGTGCTAAAGAAGAATTCAATTGCAGGGGGCAGGGGAAGGTGCAAGAGGGGATGGGGGCATATATGGTGATGGAAAAAAATAAAATTAATAAAATTTAAAAAAAAGAAGAACCCACCTGGTCGGTGTGGCTCACTGGTTGAGTGTCAACCCATGTACCAAGAGGTTGCCCATTTGATTCCTGGTCAGGACACATGCCCAGGTTGTGGGCCCAATCCCCAATGGGGGGGCACGCAGGAGGCGGCCAGTCGATGTTCTCTCTTATCAATGTTTCTATCTCTCTCTCCTTCTCCCTTCCTCTCTCTATAAAATCAATGAAGAAAAAAAAAAGAAGAAGGACCCAAGCCTTGGCTGTGTAAACTCAGTTGGTTAGAATGCTGTCCCTGTACACCAAGGTTGCAGGTTCTAACCCAGGTCAGGGCACATGCAAGAAACAACCAATAGCCCTGGCCAGTTTGGCTCAGCGGTTAGAGCGTCGGCCTGCGGTCCGGAGAGACCCGGGTTCGGTTCACGCTAAGGGCACGTACTTCGGTTGCAGTTTGTCCCCGGCCCTGGTTGGTCGTGCAGGTGGCAGCTACTCGATGTGTCCCTTCACGTCGATGTTTCTCTCTCTCTCTCCTTCCTCTCTCTCCCTCCCACTCTATCTGTACAAAAAATGGAAAAATATCCTCGGGTGAGGATAAAAAAAACAAAAACAAAAAAAAAGAAACAACCAATAAATGCATAAATAAGTGGAACAACAAATAGATATTTCTCTCCCTTCCTTTCTCTCTCTGTCCCTCTAAAATCAATAAATAAAAAAATAAAAAGAACTCAAAACTGAAATTAGGAGGGTAACAAGGAAAAGATTACCTATCAACCTTGTTAATATAACTGGTTAGAAGACATTTTTGCTCACCCAGATACTTGTCTGTACACGTATTAATCACAAATGACGGAAAGAATTCTCTAGGAACAGGCATCTAGCTCCTGTCTCTCCTGATTCTTTCTGACTCAAAAATTCAGCTGCCCACTCCCCACCACCGCCCTTTTTAAGCCATAGGGAACCTTAGCTTTACTAATCCAGCTCCAAAGACCAGGGAAAGGGACTTGCTTGGCCAAAGTCACTAACATCATGGTAGACTGGGACTCCTGGCCCCTAAGTCAGAGTGCACTGGTCCAAACACATGCTCATTCTTGCAACTTCCACCCCACCTCATGAACAGCTAGCAGAGGAGGGGACATGGGGTCCGCTTACCTGGGCCAATTGCCCTCTGGAGCTCCTCTGCCAAGAGGTGCTGGTTGATGGCCTTCAGGATTTGCAGGGTCAGCTGCATGGCATACTTCTCCCCATAGTGGCTGAGCAGCAGAGTGGCCAGCTTCACTGGCCTGGCTGTCTGGAGTTGGCCTCGAGGTATCCGGGGGTGCTCCTTCTCCAGGCTGGTGTTTTGCAGCTTGAATTTGAACTTCTCAAAGTCATAGGGCACCAGCTCCTCCAGGGAATACAAAAGATGGTCACTAGGGGTCTTGGCCATGATGTTGACCAGAACAGGCTGGAACCAGCTGTCTGGCTTCTGGGAGCAAAAAAAGGTCCTCTTGTCGTTGAGTCCAGGGAGTGAGTGAGAAGAGGCAGCTTGTGAAATAACGGAAAAGGCACAGGAAATGCTTTGTGCTTTGGTGGGAACTGAGGCTGTGAGAGGTGATTGCTGGCTTGTGTTCCCTTTCTCACAGATTCAGAGGCTTTTCCAGCTGGGAGGGCTCAACGCCTTGCCACACATGTGGTCCTCCACTGCCCCAGCTCTCACCTCCAAGGGCTGGACTGTAAAGCAGTGGGTAAGTCTGTGAGGGAGGATCTGGAATTGGATTCCAGTCTCTTAATCCTTGGGCAGGCTCTCAGTTGCTTCCCTCCTTTTCCAGGATTCGGAGTGGGGTGTGGGAACAGAGTCCTTGGTCCTATGCTAGAGAGGACCATGATGAGGGTGAGCACCTCTGGCCAACTGTTCTCCTCCAGACTCTTGGAGTTTTATTGACCCTCCAGAGCCAATGGCGAGGGGAATGGGAGCAGCAAATATAACCCTGCAAGCTTTGTTGTTCCCTGCCCAAGAAGGCAGGCAAGGCCAGAAGGGCACTGTCAGGCGACAAGCCCTGGTGTCATCCCTGTTAATGCAGTACCAATTGTCTGCACTACAACACAAAAGCCTCACAGTGCCATACTCCGGACCACCGTCCTGATTTGTTTGTTTCCAGGGCTGATTCTGTCCCGGCTTCCTGGGAGCATACCAAGAGAGAGGACACTCATCCATGCACATTTGCAGACACACATATTCTGGACATCATGTGAGGATGCTGGAGAAACAAGGTGAAAAAGGCACAGGTGTCTTTGGAGTTCACACCCTAGTATGGGGTCCCAGAGGGGGCTTATGGAAGTTGTACATGGGGTGAACTTCCTCAGTTAATAGCTTCTGTCTTTCTGCATACCCTGATCTTTATGCCCAACGTTTTGTTTTAAAAAATTTCAAATCTACAGAAAAGTTGAGAGCATAGTACAATGAACACTTATATATACCCTTTTTTGGATTTGCAAACTGTTTACATTTCATAGTATTTGGTGATGTCCTCCTCCCCCCGACTGCCCTTTCTCATATTCATGAACCACTTCTATTATTATTTTTTGAACAATTTGGTAATTAATTAAAAACAGCAGATATCACTCCAAATACTCTAGATACCCTTAATACTAAGAACAAGGATAAAAATATATTATTTCAAATAATCAGAATACAGTCATTACATTCAAGAAAATTAACATCAAATCAAATTTCCTCAATTGTCCTGATAATGTGCTGGACACTTTCACACTTCCTTTTTTTTATTCTTTCAAGACATTAATGTTTTTGAAAAGTCTATTTCAGCCATGGCTGGTTTGGCTCAGTGTTTAGAGTGTCAGCCCGAGGACTAAAGAGTCTCAGGTTCGAGTCTGGTCAAGGGCATGTACCTTGGTTGTGGTTCGGTCCCCGGCTCTGGTCAGGGTCGTGTGGAAGGCAGCCAATCAGTGTGTTTCTCTCACATTGATGTTTTTCTCTCCCCACCCCCTTACACTCTGTCTGAATATGAATGGAAAAGTATTCTTGGGTGAGGCTTAATAAATAAATAAATAGAAAAAAATCTATTCCACCCTGGCAGTTTTGCTCAGCGGTTAGAGTGTCGGCCTGCAGTCCAGAGAGACCCAGGTTCGGTTCCCACTAAGGGCACGTACCACGGTTGCAATTTGTCTCTGGCCCTGGTTGGTCGTGCGGGTGGCAGCCACTCGTATCCCTTTCACGTCGATGTTTCTCTTTCTCTCTCTCTTCCTCTCTCTCCCTCCCACTCTATCTGAACAAAAAATAGAAAAATGTCCTCAGATGAGGATAAAAAAAAAAAAGAAGAAAAGTCTATTCCAAGCAGAACGTTCCTCAATTTAGATTTATGTGGTTGTTTCCTCATTGTTAGACTGAGGGTATATTCGGGCATCCTCGAGGATCTCTCCATTGTAAAAGGACATTTTTCTTTGTAATTAATAAAATTGTGCAGAAATGTCTGGTTCTCCCACAATCATTCATCCCATGGTTTTAGCATTCACTGATGAGCCTTTCCTAAATCAACTACTACAATAGTGATTGCAAAATGGTGATGTTTCTAACACTTAGATTATCACTTATAATCCATATCCTGATTTAAACTTTGTCTTTCTTATGACATTTTTGGCTTACAGATGTTTTGTTGGTAATGCAATTACCCTCTAACAGTGCTTACTCTGTGTCAAGCACAGCTTGCTTTATACCCATTATCTTCCAGAATTTCTGCAGCTCCCCTTCAGGGCAGGGTTCATCACCCCATTTACAGACAGGATTAGTGGCTTAGTGACTTGCCTAGAGCCAGGATTCAAACCCACTCTATTAGCCACTTTGCAATATTGTCTCCCTGTATGATAATAATTTATTATTTTACTATGCATTACTTTATGGATGTCACCTTTTCAGCTGACCAATGAGGCTCAAAATGGGCCTTACTGACCACTCCCACAGGGCAGTGACAACATTCTGGTGCCTGGCTGAACAAACAGCCCTGTGTGTGACCAGCCTGAGATCAAGGCTCCAAAGAGTTCTAGTTGATTGAATTTATCTTATTGTCCAATTGGCTAACATGCTTTGTATTTTACAGAGCATTCAGTGCTTTTGGTTTAACAGCTGACAACATCCTATTCTCTGGATCCTGCTGAGAAAATAATCCCCAATCCACTGTTTTTCCTAAAAAATGGATGAACCCAAATGCACATTTCTGGTGCAAATGTCAGATTGTGCAATTCTTAGGTTGGGCCAGAAGGGTGTTGACTGGCGTGTCTCTAGGACCAGGACCAGGATATGATTACCAAAAGCAGCAACGCAGCCACTTCACAGGCAACCTCCCACTGCTGACAAAAAAATGATGAAATTGTGTAACAACTGCAGTGTTTTTCGTGTTTCTTGGATCTCTGACCCTGTCTTGACTGGCCAGGAAACTCCTCTAAGCTGAGAATAAAGCACCTATGACAAAATTGGATAGGAAGTGGGGCTTTCCAGTCGACAGCTGGCTCTTTTGCAATTGCAACGACACCTTCTGCAATGGGCAGGGACTTCTTGAAAAGTGATGTTTTGACAACACTGAGGCCTTTCTAGGTAAAGAGAGGCTCACAAAATCTCCATTTTTTCAGGTTTGAGTGAGTTTTAAAAATGAAAATGAAATGTAAAAATAGGAGTATAGTCCTGGCTGGTTTGGCTCAGCAGTTGGAGCGTCGGCCTGTGGTCCAGAGAGACCAGGGTTCGGTTCCCGCTAAGGGCACGTGCCTTGGTTGCAGTTTGTCCCTGGCCCTGGTTGGTCGTGCGGGTGGCAGCCACTTGATGTGTCCCTTTCGTGTCAGTGTTTCTCTCTCTTCCTCTCTCTCCCTCCCACTCTATCTGAACAAAAAAATGGAAAAATGTCCTCGAGTGAGGATAAAAAAGTCTTGGGATACATTTTATTTTATTTTTTTAAAAGTTTTTATTGATTTTTTAGAGAGAGAGGAAAAGAGAGAGAGATTGAAACACTGATGTAAGAGAGAAACATCCCCCTGCACGTCCCCCACTGGGGATCAAGCCCGCAACCCAGGCATGTGCCCTGACTGGGAATTGAACTGGGACCTTTCGGTCCATGGGACGAAGCTCAATCCATTGAGCCCCACAGGCCAGGCTTGAGATGCATTTTAAATCTTTGATTTAACAATTAGAGTGAGATTTAACAATTAGAGTGGAGTGTTGATGAGCTCTTATTTCTTATACCTCTGAGACTGTATGTGTGCCCTTATTTAGGGACATGATAGATCTAAAACCAACGCAGCTGCTGCAAAGGATCCAAACTCTGCTCTTATTCCTAAGTAATGCACAGCTGAGACACCCCCACCTTTACTCTATTCCTAGTCATCAGGGGTTTCACTTTCTACCAGTCATTTTGGAATTTTGCATCATTCTGGAATTTTTTTTTACCCTCACTCGAGGACATTTTTTTGCATTTATCTTCAGATAGAGTGGGAGAGAGAGGAGGGAGGAGAGAGAGAGAGAGAGAAAGAGAGAGAGAGAGAAATATCGATTTGAGAGAGACACATCGACTGGTCGCCACCCACACGACCCCAACCGGGACCTGGGACAAACTGTAACCGAGGTACATGCCGTTAGCAGGAACCGAACCCGGGACTCTGGTTCGCGGGCCGATGCTCTAACCGCTGAGCAAAACTGGCCAGGGCTCATTCTGGAATTTTTAAATCATTATGTATTACTTTTTATAAGAAAAAAGATAACCTTTTAAAATGTATTTTATAATTAGCTTAGCCTCTAAGGTGCTACCAGGCCTGTCCCTCCAACCATCATGACAAAGCATGTCTATAAAGTAATATTTTAATATAACACCTATCTGCTATTGAGAAAATGGAAAGAACTGCTGGGAAGATCATGGAAGAGTTCCTGTGTTAATCTGGAGTTGAAAATAATGGATCCCAGCCCTGGCCGGTTTGGGTCAGCGGTTAGAGCGTCAGCCTGTGGTCCAGAGAGACCCAGGTTCGGTTCCCGCTAAGGGCACATGCCTCGGTTGCAGTTCGCTCTGGCCCTGGTTGTGGTCATGCCGGTGATGACCACTTGATGTTTCTCTTTCTCGCTCTCTTCCCCTCTCCCTCCCACTCTATATGAACTATCTGAACAAAAAAATGGAAAAAATGTCCTCGGGTGAGGATAGAAAAAAAAAGAAAGAAAATAATGGATCCCATTGTGACATGAACTCTCCCTTGCCTGCAATGTATTGAATTTTAGAAAAATAATCTGAGACTTTGAGGGGCTAACCATTCAAGTTCCAGGTGAATTTCAGGCAATGAACCTCCCACTGAGAAAGCCTGTCACTATACTGAGGGCATACTGAGTTCTGGGACAATCTACAACCTCCTGAACAGGATGAAAATGGAGGGAGAGGAAACCAGCTTCCCAAAGTGGGGCGCAGTGAGTGGCAGTGACCTGTCAAGGTGGTGCAGTAATGGAATCTGAATAGGTCCCCAACCAGCTCA